CCCCAAAACCCCAAAACCCCAAAACCCCTTCAGGCGAGGTTTACAGGCTAGTATTTGGGGAGAATATTGGCTGCTTGGTTAATTACACATCATGATGAAAAACCAGTACTCGATCGTATCCTCCAGCGGTAAGTCCCAACATAGTCATATCTATTATAGACATCCTTGGAAGAAACCTTGAAAGATCCCATAAAGTTCTATGAGAGTATAAGCTCCCAGAATTTTTGGAAAATTTCATGAGAGAAGTAGGAACAAGATGCACCTTTGTTGATAGCATTACCAAAGGAAATGACCTCGACTTCGGACCAAATATTGAAGAAGAAATGCTTATTAATGACCCTTCCTCAGGAGATGAATCTGAGGATTCCAAGAGGTCGATATTTCCTCTGCCACCAAAGCTCTCTGAAGTCCTGAACTGTGTCTATGATCCCTTGGTTTACGTCCCTTTGGTAAGAAATATCTGCTAAGACATAGAAAAACATAGATGAAGCGATTGATGGACTTAAGCTCTACCTAATGTTCAGCCGGCTTGACAAAGATACCAATCCGAAGCAGTTTTATAAATCATTAATCAAGATTTCCTCCAGATGGTAAGCTTTTATGTCTAATCTTCTGTAGAAGTGACTCTATCATCATTGACTGAGTAAAGATCTTGGATACCTCCCAGAGTCACTACAAAGCAATAGTTGAGTTCAAAGATGATAAGCATTGTTCTGAGGTTTACGAGTTTCTTAACTCACCTAAGTACAAAGGAAAGTTTAAAAATAAGGAAAAAGAGTCAATCCAGATCAATTATGCTCTGGACTCTAGCAGGGTTGAGAATAGCGGCTGGGTAGCTGTTGTTATCAGGAATCTTCCTAGAGAGGCCACCAAGTCTATCATCGTTGCCAATTGTAGCCAAAATGGTGAGAAAGTACTTTATGCAACTAACCCTATCAAAGTGAAAAATATGTACTGTTGTATGGTCAGAGTCAAGACCATTGATGATGCGGAAAAGATCTGTAGGCGACTGAACGAAAAGCGTAAATTTAAAGAAGGAATCTTTGTAGACATCCATCCAAACAGTAACTACAAAAGGCAAAATCCTCAGAAAAGCCAATTTTCCATTTTCAAAAATGAGAAGTATTTTCCCTCGAATGATGGTAAGAAGAAGGTTAAAGTCCATGATGAAGTAGCTGAAATGAAGAACCCCAAGCCTGACAATAGCATTATCGGTCAGCTGACCCTCCTAGACCGCAAGACTGACTGGAAAAACAAAGATGTCTCTATTATAGGTCTTGAAAAGTCCAAGATTGAGCTTGACCGTGAGCATCCTCTCTCCATCAGAAACCGAAAGATACACAACCTTCTGTGTGAAATCTCTAGTGATCGGAAGAAATTCCCTAAAATGGACTTGGTGGATGCAGCCCCACCTATATTCCCAAAGAAAGTGGAGAAAGAGCCTGAGTTAGACGAAGCGAACACAAATGAAGCCACTAAGGAAGATATGTCTGACAATGACTCCACCAAGGCTGAAAGAGATGATATATGCGAAGTACAACCCACCAACTGTGACGATCTGGTCATTATGAACGAGGAAGCATTCAAAGAAAAGAAAGCTTCCAAGCTAGATGTCAATTTCATTAAGAAGAGAAATGTTAAGTTTCATGCTAAAAGAGTTGTGAAACAGGAAGAGAATGAGTATGATGATATTGCACCATCAGAGCCTGCTTTCTTTGAGATCACCCATAAATAAGAGAACAAACACATTCCGAAGGATTAAATGTGATTAATTGAACTTAAGAGTTATGATATCATAAATGTATCCAGCTTTTCTTAATTTCAATAAAATCTTAAAATAAGGGGTTTTGGGGTTTTGGGGTTTTGGGGAGAT